TGTTGGTATTGGATATTCCCAAATTTCAGAGGTGTGTGCTACTATGGATATACCTTGTATGTCTTCAACAAAATTTACGGAAGCTCAGAGGGATATGAGTGAAAAAATCCATAAAATAGCCGAACAACAAATGGCAATAGCTGGAAAAGAAGAAAGACGATTAGCTCTTGAAAGTGGATCCATAGATAATGATAGAATACCAATGTGTACGGTCGTGGCAGATGGTCAATGGAGTAAACGTAGTTATAAAACTAACTATGATGCACTATCAGGAGTGGTAAGAAGTTCTAGCTTACTAGTGGCTAGAGCCTAGCCAAATAGTTATTATTAATCATTGTATTATATTAATTCGGTATTAGAAGCGTCTAATTATACAAATTAAAATTGTATTTACAGGCAACAATAATTGGTTACAAATCAAAATTAATTTTATTTATTGGTATAAGAAATCGGTATTGTTGTGTTTGTCAAAGAGCAAAAAATAAACACGTCCCAATTCCAGAACATGTATGTTTTTTGAACTGGAAAAAATGAGCTACCAGTATGGAAGCTGACGCAATTGCCGAAGGTTTTAAATTAAGCGTTAGTTTACATGGATTAAAATATAATAAACTAATCGGTAAATATAAATGTTTAATAATAAATATTACATTTCTAAAAGGCGTTCACAGAGGTTGGTATTTTTAACTATATTTAAAATAAAATAAATTATTCTATTAGGCGATGGTGATTCAAGTATCACTAGAAGATTAGCTGAAATTATGCCATAGGACCATCTTTAATTATTCAAAAAATTGAGTGTCGTAATCATTTGTTGAGAAATTATAGTACTAAATTATCAGCATTAACAAAAAATACGAAAATTCCTATACATTTAAGAAAACATATAAAATCAAATTTATTACGATTTAGAAGTGCCATTACAAAATCAATTGAGTACAGGAATTCATTACACAATCAAACAGAAGCTCAGAAATGCATGGGTAATTATTCAATTTTTTTTGAAGTTTCATTTTCTTTGTAAATTTTTAATTAATATAACTCATTTAATTTATAGGCCTAAAAAAGGATATTGCAAACGGCTATCGGCATATTTTGGGAGCACACGATAGATGTGAAAAATATTTCTGTACAGGGCCCAAACCTAATGTAATTAATTTAACTGTGGATGCTAAGAAATGTAATATAACTGCTGAGTTTCGTCAAATATTAAATAGATTAGTCATTCATTCCGATAGTTTGCTAATGAATGTGGATAATAATGTTTGTGAGCAATTTAATAGTATTATTAACAAGCACTTAGGCGGGAAACGTATAAATTTTTCGCAAAGGCAATCGTATAACACACCCCCCCGCGGGACCCACCTTGTCGTGGTGGGGGGGCTCACCGGCCATTAACTTGGTCGGTGCCAAGAGGTTCCACCCGTTAGTCGACCCTTACCTTAGTTGGTTGGGGTCGACGAGGTCCGGTCCACCTGCTAGCACCAGCAAACGGACCAAACCCTGGCGGTAGGGTAAAAACGCAAAGGGAAGGACAACCCTCCAAAACCCAATATGGAAAGTCTCAACAACCGAAATATTGTTACCGCCCCAGTGTCTTCGGATGACACAGGGGACGCTGGAGGGGGCTCTAGTAGCCCAGCCCCCACTGGTGCCAACCAAGGGCGATGCGAAGGGGAGGCCCCCCAACCAAATGCGAAGTGGAGGTCCCACAACAATCAGGTGGAAGTAGATTTGGCCCTGCGAGCGGCAAAAGAAGAGGAAGAGAAAAAGGCGTTAGCCCGACTACAGCAACTTGGCCCATTTAGGCTGTGTGACGAGATGGATACAAGAATGATTAAGATTTGTGAAAGGCTGGAGAGGCACCTTACCCAAGGCCAATCTCCCAACGCAACAAAGGAGCTAATTGAGGAAACGATAAATAATATAAAGGTATTAGACCCAATCCTCAACACCCTTAGGGATGAGATTTGGAAAATCGACCAAGAGCTGGTAGATGCAACCAATCGGGAAAGAGAAACGGTTTATTACGCGAGAAAAACAATCGATGTCGGGGTGTCAACAGATCCCATCACCGAAGAAGACAGAACAGAAGTCTCAGTCTCCTCCGGAGGTGAAACTCTAGACGAAGACGAAGCATTCAGAATGCCAAACAGAGAGGATTCCCCGGTCGTACGGCAGCCAAGGAAGCGCAAGAAAAAGGATGACGAGCCCATCTCGGAGCCGAGCTTTGGGTCCTGTAACATACAGGACTTGGAGGACGACGATGTGGCCATCGAGATCGGCCTGCGCCTAGCGTTGGTACAGGCCACCCGCCTTACTCTAGAGGTAGATGGTGCGAAAGAAGTAGGGGAGATCGCAGACCACATAGTGGAGACGGCGCACGAACTGGACAAGACAGTTACGGCGCTCAACGACCTATGGGCGACTCGGTCACCCAATAACTATGGTGAAAAACTGGCACATGCAACCCTAAAAACTTCCGACCTCCGGGAGCTTGGGGTGCAGTATAGCATTATGCAAGAATGCATAGAAAAACAGAAAGGAAGAGGCATAAACCGAGTAATACAAGACGCGTGCTCAAAAACCGGAGTACTACTCAAGCGGATCAGCGAACGCGTTGAGACTGACACGGGTCCCCAAATCCCGCTGGCAGTCACGTCGAGCCCGTCCGTTGAAAAACCGTTGGAGACAGTCCAGGTGCCCGAGGACGGCAAGGAGCGGGACACAAAGAAAGTAAAGAAGAAAAGAAAGAAAAAAAAGGAAAAAGAGCCAGCAAAATCTGGAGACAAGACGACAAGACGCAAACTTGCACCTCCTCGACCACAAGGGATTGTTATCGCTAGGGCCGATGGCGGTGGTAGTTATGCCGACATAGCCAGGAAGCTTAAGGACAATATTGACCTTAATGCTCTGGGCGTCTCTATCCAGGCAGTGCGTAAAACGAAGGAGGGCCATTTGGCCATCACAGTGGGCAAAGGAGCCGATGCCAGCCAGGCTGCTCTTAAGCTCAAAGCTGCGGCGCAAGACTTACTCGGATCTGACATCGGTATTCGAGCATCGTCCAACAAACAGGTTGTGGAGATAAGAGACATCAGCGCGGAGGACGGAGCCGGTGATGTATACGCTGGCATATGTCAAGAAGGTGCCAACATCAATGAAGTTAGTGTTCAGAAGATCACCCCCTCATACGGAGGAACACAAAAGGCAATCGTTACGGTGACGGCAGAAGTTGCAAAAGACATCTGTAAGAAGGGGAAAGTAAGAATCGGATGGGTCTTGTGCCGTGCTCGACCAGCAGAACGACGTCTGGACCGATGCTTCCACTGCCATGGCTACGGCCACAGGCAAGCGGGATGCAAAGGCCCAGACAGGTCTAAGCAGTGTATGACATGTGGGGAGGAAGGACATCTCGCAAAAGATTGCCGAGCCTCACCGCATTGTGTTCTGTGTGAAGCCAGACAAAGAAACGCTGACCACTATCCCGGCAGCGGGAAATGCGAAGCGTATCGAACAGCGAAGGCCAAGATGAAGAAGTGAGACCTGGCGGCGTCTGAGACGCGGGGTAGAAGAGGAGCAGTCACCAGCCCGGCGGCATCTGCGATGCGGGGTGAAGACCAACCCAAATAACAGAAGTCTTAACTTAGAAAATGTAATAATTGTCTAATTTAAGAGATGTATTGTAATTTCAAAACTTATTAGTAGACTAAATTTAGAAAATTGTTTGTGTAATAATTGTCTAATTTAAGAGATGTATTGTGTTTTTCATACTTGTAAATATTTTGTATATATCGTGTTTGATTTCACAATAAACGATGTAAGCGGCCCCAAAGTAATGCTTAATAGGCGAGTTCTGGGGCCGTTTACGATTCAAACAGGGAAAAAAAAAAAAAAAAAAATCGTATAACACACGCGTAGAGGCAGCTGTGATATCCTATAACACATCTGGACAGCTTTTACGGGCTATTCACAAAGGTGTCGCCAATGAAATAAGTCCGGGTGGGATTTTTTTTTTTTTAATTATTTATAAGTAAATTTAGCTAGATTAATAACAAAATTCATTATACTAAACAATGGGAGAAGTTGGAAAAAAATTTCTTAAAAATAAGAAAAATAAGTCTTTGTTATCAAAATCTAGGAAGCTTCTTTTTCCCAACAAAAAAAGAATGAAGACATCGCATCAAGGTCCAGATGAACATTATGGAATGGCGGAACCGTTACTTGATGATGACGTATCTTTAGATGAAATTTTAGATTTAGGTTTTATTCAAATTACTTATTTTGTATTAATTGTTTATACTTCAGTTTTTTTCCCCTTATTTTGTAAATATTTCTACCTAATTTTTATTTTTTGTATAGTTGATTATTTTTATGTACTTTTTCCCCTTAATTTGATAATATTTTACCTATTTTTATTTAGTTATTTTTGGTTTTTATTTTCTCTTATTTTGTAAATATTTTACATATTTTTTTGTATAGTCAATTATTTTTTATCAGTGTCATTCAGCGATTGTTACATTATACTAGTTTTTAGTTATTTTGATTCCTTTCTCACTACACTTATCCACGTGTGCTGAATCTGGACTTAGAACACCCAGTTCACTACATAAACTTGGCATTCCACTACCTACATCTTAAACAAGCGATTGCCACGGACTGCATGTCGAAAAGGTAAGATTAACATTAATAATAATAATAATAACAGTTAACACAAATAGGTCATTAATTTTAACGGGGTTTTAGGTACATAGAGTGTTGAAATTTAATCAATCAGCTTGGCTGGCGCCATATATCGAGTTGAACACTAAATTAAGACAGAAAGCAACCAATGACTTCGAAAAAGATTTTTTCAAACTAATGAACAATTCCGTGTTTGGTGAGTAACCAAAAAAAAAAATATATATATCGGTCAAATTAGACCCCTGTCATTACTACACTGCCCCTGGACTCAGCTTTCAATCAATGCTGATGTACACAGGTATAGAGCTGGAGCTTCTAAGTGATTATGAGATGATGTTATTTTTTGAACGTGGTATTCGCGGAGGGATGACATTCTCGACTATGAAATATGCTAAGGCTAACAACCGAAAGACGCCTGGATACGACCCGAATAAACCGGAAAGCTGGATTCTTTATCAAGATGTCAACAATTTATACGGATGAAGCCTTTTCCAGAATATGCCTCACTCTGGATATCAATGGTTGGATGAGGACCCCGAGACATTCCTTAGGAGACTTGAAGATTTGGATGAAAAATCTCCAACAGGGCTGGTATTTAAAGTGGACATAACATACCCAGAACATCTACACGATGAGCATAACGAGCTTCCCTTCTTACCAGAAACCAAATGTCCGCCGGGGTCAAAAGTAAAAAAACTGCTCACAACATTCGACAAAAAAACCAATTACGTTTGCCATTACCTAAACCTTAAACAGGCGATCGCCAATGGACTGCATGTCGAAAAGGTAAGATTAACATTAATAATAATAATAATAACAGTTAACACAAATAGGTCATTAATTTTAACGGGGTTTTAGGTACATAGAGTGTTGAAATTTAATCAATCAGCTTGGCTGGCGCCATATATCGAGTTGAACACTAAATTAAGACAGAAAGCAACCAATGACTTCGAAAAAGATTTTTTCAAACTAATGAACAACTCCGTGTTTGGTGAGTAACCAAAAAATATCAGTCGGTAATTAGAATAATAATAAATTAAGTATGATATTCAAATTAGGTAAAATGATGGAACGAATGCTGTTACGGATGAATATGGAGTTAGTCAATTGACGCGGCCGTATCGCGACGTCGGCGGTGGTCGGGTGCTAATCACACTTGTCACTTTTCACTTATTAAAATATAATCATCCGTGATAGCTTAACTCCGTTTCTCTTTATTTAAAACTACCCTTCAATCAACCCTCTCCTTACGACCACAATAATCTGGCGCAGTCAGTACTTGAAGAACTTAGAGGGACTTAAGGTAAGTGCAAACTTTAATACATTTTTTTTTTTGTTTTTTAATTTTTGCACCCCCTTTAAACACTAAGGAACTTAGCTTAGCTGGACCTTAAGTTTAGTCTCAGCTCCCACCGTAAGAGAGTGTTTTCTCGAAAAAGTTACGATTTTGGGGTATTTTAACGCGAAAAAGCGAAAAATTAATACGGGTTCTAGTAATTGAGTTGTACCCGAGCGTGGTTTGTGCTAAAAATAGATATTAGGCAAAACCACAAAACCCGCTGACCAGCCGCTCTAATCTGCCGGTAATGTTTCATTCGGCTAATTGGTTTACGTGTATTACATCAACATGTCAGTTAAGGCATTGTTAGACCTGACAATAGCCGAGTTGAAATCGGAGTTAGCGGCGCGGGGTTTAGTCACCGAGGGGACAAAACCTGACTTAGTGTTAAGACTGGAGGAATTCCTCAACCCGATGACCATCCGGAAATGGAATGGCCGTCCGGAATCTAACCCGGAGTCAGAGGCCGAAGAGGAGGTACCGCCCTCCCGGGCCGACCTAGAATCCGAATCGGAGTGGTCGCTTACCCGCGACTTGTACATGCGTCTATGTGAGGTCATAGACGAGTACATGGGCCGGACCGAAGTGTTGGAAGCTTCGGTGTCGGCCGAGCGGGTCCGGACCGAAGAACTGGAGACCACGGTGACACTCCAGCGGGAGTGTATCGTGCGGCTCGAGGGTAACCTTGACCAGGCCCGGTCACAGCTCAACGCTCTCGAGGAATCCAGCCGGAAACGGGAAGGAGTAATCGGTAGCACAAACCGAGGTACCATCCCGAACTTACCTCCTCCACGGTCAACTACGGACGTTTGGACCGGACGAGTCCCGACAAGGCCCGGACAAAATGGCCTAGGGAGTGACCTTCCGACCGTCAAGACAAGTGGCGGCACAAACGGCCGTCCAGTTACGTCAGCAGGCCCGAAAGCTGTGGCAGGCCGCCGAAGCACTCGAGGGTAGACAAGGGGAGGACCCATTCGACGGTTGGACCCTGGAGCGCGTTCGGCGCGCTGAATTATGGGAGTTACGCGCCCACGAACTCCTGTGGGTGGCGTATGATCGCGGGTTTGTCGACGGGAGTCGTCGGCCCCGACGTCAAGAGGGGCACGCCACAGCTAGGCCACACCCGCCTCGACCAGCGGCCGCTGTTCCCCTCCGCCGTCCTCGCCAGCCCGCTCAGGACCGATTGGCCAACCGGCCGGCGGAACGTTCCAACCATCGCCACAAAACCTAACCTAACCTAACCTAACCTAACGATAATTTTTTTTTTTTTTTATGATTTAAATATAATTGTTTTGGTTTATCCTATTAATGGTAAACAATAAGTCTATAAGTCAAATTAGAATAAGTTTAGAGTGCAGAGTACAACACAGTTATCAGATTTATAGAATTGACTCTAGTTTATGAGGTACAGGCTATTAATTAGAAGTAATTAATAGCCTGCCGAAAGACTAAACGAAAAATAAAAATATTATTATTAATAGGTCTAATCGGTTTGTTCGGACCTTATCGATAAGGAAACGAATTTGATAAAAACAACCTTTGGTTAGGTATACTTAAAATAATACAACTTAACGAGGGTAGATCGCAATAAAATGTATGTTTACATTTGGACATGTAATTTATCTTGAGAACCACAGTCAATTTAAACAAAGTAACTGCATTTAGTGTATGTGTAATCTAGTTGTATTTAAAACAATAGAAGTATTTTTTCCAGTATTATAACAAACGTATTATTTTAAACTTTCTTGGCTAAAACAAATGGCTTGACAAAAAAATTACTATACAGAATTTATGAATAATCCTGTACACATATATTATGTATGTGTTTATTATTTAGTTATAGATCATCTGAATATAATAAGTGCTAAACAACATATTGTGGTTAGCCAACTAAGTACTGTACTTCCAGTAACAAGAAGTCCAAAATTTAAATATTTGTTGAATTTTATACAAATAAGAAATTCAACTGCACTTTTGGCATCTGGGTCTATCTAAGTGAAGGAATTTTTGATCCAGTGCTGTCATAGTACTGACGGATACCTAGAAAGAGAGCTTAATTGGCAAAACAACGACGCCGATGGTATGTATGCTAAGTGAAAAAAAAAATAATAACATTGAGAAATCTTTAATGGTTCCTTTAGTGATTTACTATTGATGATTGATCAAAAAATATAGATGAACTTAATGAGATTGAGTTAAAAATTGAAGATGGATATCCATAACTTTAGTTGTACCTAACATAACGATTGAAAATAAATCTACACTTATCACGGAGGAAATTATTACAAAAATTGTATATAAATAAAAGAAGCTAATTTACTTGTTGTACCTGCTATTTTAGATAAAAATATCTTTACAACAGAATTTATTTATATCATGTTTTTTACTTTGGAAACTAATAATTCAAATTTCAATTACAGCTAGGTATTTTTAAATGCCGTGTTTTAGCCCATTTATATTACCCTATTATATCTTATATCTTATTATAAAGCATATGGAATAGTAGATTATTAATAAGCATTTACTTTGATTCCAGATTCTGAAGATGATGTGGAAACCACGGGTCCTGGTCCTTACGATGTAGTTGGTGTGTATAAAATTGTTTTATCTAATATTATTTGAATTTTTAATTTATATTGTCTACTTACTTTTGATTAAATCTAGAAAATTTAACATTCAACGAAGATTTTATTGTCCCGGAAGACATGGAGCTGGATGTTTGGCAGGAAGATTTTGGAAATGAAATTGTTGTGCCATTTGTTCGTGTGCCACATACAATTGTTAACGATGGACAGCCTTCCTCCAATACCGAGGACACAAGGTGTGTTGTTTGTAGGGACAACCCTCGTACCCACGCATTGATACCGTGTGGCCATAAGGTTTTGTGTTCCGATTGTGTGGCCAGGTTGGAACACAACCGTTGTCCCATGTGTAATAGCGTGTTCGACAGTTGTTTAAGAATATGGTGAACAATTGTAAAAAGCAGTAAAATTTGTAAAAAATTATAAATAATAAAAATTGTAGTATTTAATTTTTTTTCTTAATACTTTACTTACCTAGTGTGTGTCAACGGTAAATAGAACGGGATACATATACAGAATTCCAGCGTTTAATGTGTGAGGATTATGCGTTTGGTTTCATTTTGGTTTTAAATGATTAATGATTAATTGGTTGTATCAACGTTTTTTCGTCACTATCTAGATTTCAGACGACGGTTTAAAATATAACCGCGGTTTATAAAATTTAACGGTTATTAATTATTATTGATAACACAAAATACTATCATTGACCACTTTCTATAATGTGTATTATGATTTATGAAAATACTATATATTATTTTCATATTTTAGTCATTAGACAAAGTTTAGTGGAGTTGGGAAGGTCACGGGTCTTATGAACAAATGTTTCCATCAAATGCTTTGATGCAAAACTGTAGATGGTGAAAATAAAAATATATAAACTATTTTAAAATTGGTACCAAATTTGTGTACGATATTCTTTAGATGTTGTACTTTAGATTTTAATGAAAAACTAAGAAAAGAAAATAAACTCTTTCTCATTAAAGGGATGAAAATTAGACTGGGAGTAGGTCTAGCGTTGGCTTGTAATATTTACAATTTATTTTTTTTATTTAAGTGACTACACATTATTGAAAAGAATATGAATCAATTTAAAGATAATTTAGGATCTGTAACTTACATAATTGTTTTATATTAAAGAAACACACAAAAAAAAAAATGTTCTTAAAATTATTATTAAATTTTAAACTATTGTAGAAAGAACTATTAAAAACGATTTGGTCAAAATGGGTACTCTAAATATTATTTTCGATTTTCAGAAGTAGTATTCCTGATGCAAGAGATAACCACCATTGAGTACAAAAACTATCTTGGGTTATGGCTGCGTCAGGCCAAGAACCGGAGCGCACAAACCAAGCAACCCTAACCAGCAGCACTGGTGTTTATTGGATATTTGTTATTATATAATAATTTGTTCTTATTATACTTATTTAAATAATATTATATTGTATATAGAGCTGTTATTATATAATAATTTGTTTTATTATATTATTTAAATAATATTATATTGTATATACAGCTGTTAAATAAAAGTGTTTATTGATAAATGTGTAAAACTGTATTTTTCAACAATTTACAATTTTATATACATATAATGCCTATTATATAATAGGTGATTAAATGTTAAATAAATGTCTAAGTTTTATGGAAAACAAACTTTTTATACATGTTTATTAAGTTGATAACATACCGCTTATAAGGTTTTTATTTGTCGCTTATGTTTACCTACATCTAATAATATGCAAACAGTAGTTAACTATTTATCTGCTTTCAATTGTATAACTTTTAACCAAATTATATTAATAATAGAACAAAGTAATAATTCTGATGAACGTATAGATATAAGTATACATAGAGATTTAATTTACACGTGGGACGTAAATAAAATGAATTTTATTAGGAATAATTACAACTTATTTTTAAGAGAAAATTATGTACACATAAACCTTAATCTTATTAATATTTTCGGGAAAAAAAACATTTTTACGTTTAATTTTATTAATATTAAATTTGAATATGATATTGATATTGATTACACTATATGCACAGATACATGTAATGCTATTGCTAAATATAATAAGAATCATAAAACAAAAAATAGTACATAATGTTGTACAAGATTGCAGTGTAATTGTTAGGAAAAAATTAATGTTCAATATTATAAGTATAAATCCGTCTCATCTTCATTGCTGT